TTAAATTATATTTAACAGGTCCAGGATTTTCATTTTTCTTGTGTCAGTTTTAGACAGTTGTGTTCATTCACAGCACTGTGGGAAAAGGCAGACCTTATGGGCACAGATGGTTGCATGTGGAAATTATCTATTGATTATACTTTTATTTTCTTCAGTCAGACCATTTTACCTGAAAGTGAATATGGGAAAGAAGATATTGCAAGCTTGAGGAGGTAAGAGAGATAATTACTTGCCTACAACAAGAGAGTAAATATGTGGTATAAGCGATGGGCAGCATGAATAATATACCAAGTTCTAACACTGACCGAGTTGCAGGCATTCGCTCGTTCTACTTTAGAAAGACCCTTCAATTCAGTATCAAATACATTCATCTTCTCTACCAGGCAAGTGAGAGCAGTCTCTGTAGCTTCTCCAACTTTTTCATACGCACCCTTTGCCTGTATTGGTAAAAGACATAGAAAGTACAAAAAGGGAAAGTAGTAAACAAGTAATTTGTCTTTAATACAATGGGATTTAATACAACGGAGATTTTTCCATATGAGGACAACCTGTCCTCCATTACATCATTATTCTGTGGGCCACTTTCATCCTACTCTGGAGCACATGTTCCAGATAATTAAAAATATAACTCAAAGCAAAGGTGTACATCTTATCTTATTCTATTAATTAGGTTTTTCATTTTCCTTAACGATAAGAAGCCACTAGTTACAGTATTAACTCATATAAAGTTTTCAAATAGTATTTGTAATTCCATGTCATTACTTATCTACAGAGTTTATATTCTGTTTCCAATGGCTTGCCTTTTAGAAACCAAAGGATTTATCTCACTATTTATAATTTAGGTTTTCTGATAGTTATCAAAACAACCCTTTAAACCTCAGCTTGTCTAATGGATAGAACACTACCATCTTAAAAAGCGAGATCAACACCCTATACGTTCAGGAAAACATTTTCTAGCCTGGGTTTTATTCATTTATAGCACCAAACTATTAACAGATGAGAACATCATGTACACAAAAACTCTTGGTTAAGTAACTGCAATGCTCAGTCACAGGACATATGAAAGGCTCTCAGCTTTCTTTGGCTCAGTCATGCGGACTCTGATAGAGATAGAATCTTGAATGGAAAGGGAAATAAAATCAGGAACCCTTACTTTCGAAAGGGAGGAAGGAAGGCTGGATTTTCATCCACCCACCCCACCCTTGACTAGGAACAGTCAGGTCTAGTTTCTCATTTCTGAGGAGCCTTACTTACCTCATTGTAATCCAAAGCAGAGTCATTACAAAGGGCACAAATTGTTGCCAGTTCTACAAGACCATCATATTGATGACATTTCACTGGTTTATCATCTTTATACCTGTCAAAAGAAAAAACACTCCTAGAGCACAGTGTAGTTATCTCTGTTGACCTTTATTTTCTTAGTTCATGAAATTCCTCCACCACTGGTACCAATAAAGAACAAACAAACCCCACTTAAAAATTTAGGCTTCAAACGGGAGCTCAATAAGATAAAATAAATAGGTCATTGGCTTATAACTTGTGTTTTCTCTTTCAAAGTGTACATAAATTGCCCTGGCCAGGTAGTTCAGTTGGTTAGAGCATCGTCCCGATATACCAAGGTTGTGGGTTCAATCCCCAGTCAGGGCAAATAACAAGAAGCAACCAATGAGTGTGTAAAATCTGTTTTTTTTTCTCTCTCTCTGAAATAAAAATAACAAAAACTGGGTAAAGATATTTTTTTAAGTGTACAAAAATGTTCTACTCTAATAACTGATGCCATGAGCCACATTCAGAAAGCTGTCAACTTTTCTAGACATACTGCAAGTCTATACAAGTACCAAACTGGCATAAAGGATCCTTTAACTGATAGGAGGGTTTACTCACACTTCTCCAACAGGTGCATATGTTGATCCACTTATGGTAAATTCATTCAGGGAACAAGCATCACCTTCAACTTTGTCCAGAATGAACATCTATAGAAAGAAAAAAAGCACTATTTAAAAGGTACAAAAACGCTAGAAAAAACACACACATACTCTTTGCTAAGACAAAAAATCTTTAAGAAAGCAATTTTAATGAAACTAACTGAACATCAGAAGTATTGTCCCTTATTCCAACTAGAGACCGTTTAAGATGGCCTCCCTCACCCATCTAACAATCTGAGAAACAGCATCACTGAGGTGCTGAATAAAAAAATAGTAAGCAGCAGTGACACCAAAGACACCCCACATGAAACCTGAGTTACAAGGACCATGGGTCAACAGGGCTCTAGAATGCTCAGAATTCCAAATGGCTGGCTGAGAAGGTGTGTATTAGGTAATCCTGCCTTAGAGCTAAGAATAAAAGCTTGTGAAGAAAACACATTTCAGAGTTGCATCAACATTCCCTAAGTAAAATAAGACAAATTGTTTCTCTGCTCCTTTCCACTTATTTTTATTATGGTAATAGCTCATTTTCCATGAAGCTGCATAACTATATGTGTACAGTAAGGAGCCTGCAGAGCTGAATGAACTTATGTTACCAAGACAATACAGACAGAAGCATGCTTAGGAAAGAATTCTTAATCGTATAGATTAGTAAGGTGACAAAGGCTAGTTTCTTTTTTCTAAAAATGTTGTACTGCTTTTTAGAGACAGGGGAAGGGAGAAGGGGAGAGAAAGAGAAACATTGAACATCAATTGGCTGCTGCCTGCATGGACCCTCACCAGGGATAGAGCCTGAAACTTGGGCATGTGCCAACAGGGAATTGAACCAGCAACCTTTAGGTTCATGGACAATGCCCAACCAACTGAGCCACACCAGCCAGGGCCTAAAGCTAGTTTCTTAAAGTTGAGGTTTTAAAAATTTGCTTTCAGAAGCCCAGTTTGGAAGACTAAGATTCAGATAGGTGTTTTCATTGCAGATTGAAACTGTAAAACCTCTTAAAAAAAAAAAAAAGAGGAGGGGTGAGGGGGGACAAAAACACACAAAGTGATACTTCAACTATATCATGCCAAAGTATTTCTGAAATATGAACAAGAATATGATCAAACCAGTTCCGATAAGGAACTGTAAACTCACTGAAAAGAGAATCATGTCATGCTTTTTATGTATGTATGTTAATCCTCACATGCGGATATTTTTCCCCATTGATTTTTAGAGTGGAAAGGAGGGAAGGAGGGAGGGAGGGAGGGAGGGAGCCAGGGATCCAGTCTGCAACCCAGGTATGTGCCCTTGACTGTGAATTGAACCCATGACGTGTTGATTTAAAAAAAAAAAATTTTTTTTTTGCCTTACAAGATTTGCTTGTTATGTAGCACATTTACATTTCAAAAAACTTCATTTCAAAAATATATTAAGAATTAAATCAACCTTGGAACTGAACTAAAACCATGAGTAAAACATACAAATCAAAAGTATATAATTAGAGTTAAACCTGTTGAGGACTCCTGATAAAAGGCTTTAGTTCAAACACACATATCAGCATTTCAAATGAGGAAGATTCATTTCCAAGGTCACATGCAGCAAGGTCAAAAATTTTTTTAAGCAGATAAACACCTAAAAAAGGCTCTTTCCGAAGATGTTTGACATTTTATAGAATAGGAAACAAAGGACCAAACTGGTTAAAGGATGTGCTCAAGGTTACACAATTATTGAGTGGAAGAGAGAGGATCAGGTTTAACTACCTGTCTTCCTATAGAAAATCCAACTCACCCCCTCCGTATTAAAAGTTGTGTGACCCTCAGACATGTCACACCTTCTCGGAGCCTTAGTTTTCTTTTCTTTTTTTAAAATATATTTTTATTCATTCCAGAGAGGAAGGGAGAGGGATAGAAACATCAATGATGAGAATCATTGATTGGCTGCCTCCTGCATGCCCCCCACTGGGGATCAAGCCCACAACCTGGGCATGTGCCCTTGACCAGAATTGAAGGTCAGTTTGCAGGCCAACGCTCTATCCACTGAGCTAACCCAGCTAGGGCAGTTTTCTAACCTCTTGAACAGAATTCCCATGATTCAAATCAAGTCACAAGTGAAAAATACAGTAAATGCACTAAGCAACAGCAAAGCACGTTGGCAGTACTATTATTAAACACTGCCATTTCTTTAACGATACTGTTTATAAAAAGTGAAACTCTGGGTCTATACCAGTCCAAAATAGTCTAAGACATTCAGAATTCTGCTGCCCGTTAACTCAATCTAAATGCCCTTTGGTATTTTAGATTTTAAGCAAGTAAACCATTTAGGAACTGCATGATGAAAGTATTCCTGTCAAGGGTAGTTATGCAATCCACTGCAAGAAACCTCCTTATAGAATACTGATTAGCGCCAGTTTTTTGTGCTGAGGTAGAACAGAACAAAGAGGCAGGCTGTTTCTTTAATAGAAGAAAACATTTTAAATCAAATCACTTAAGGGAAAATAAAAGCACCCAAAAAAATTTATTATGGACTCTATTTTATACTTAGTTTGAAATCTGATTTGCTGCCAAAACTTTAAAACCAAAAAAATTTAAAGGTTACAATTGCACACTGCTTATTTTTATGGATAGAAAGGTCTATTCTGAGGAATCTAAAGCTTTCAGGCTAAGTTTAAAGTTTGCTGGGGGGAATACTAAACAGGTACATGAAATTTCTTTTCTCTCCCCCAAATAATCAGCTTTTTGCCAACTTGCTTTTAGCCTATTTGTCCAAACTTTTCTGGTTCCAAGGATCGAGAACTTAGGTAGCTCAAACTCTGCATCTACTAGGGGAACCCCAAACTAGGAAGCTTACCACTTGAGAGACAGAACATCTTAATCTGTTTTAAACACCTGCCCATTCATTCTAAATCTGGGTTTGGACTTCAGAAAGAGTTGGGGATATCTGTATCTAAAAATCATCATCAATTTAAATTTGGAGCGGGCTCGATGCCCAGTAGGGGGCGTGCAGGAGGCAGCCGGACCATGACTCTCTCTCATGGATGTTTCTCTTGCTCTCTCTCCCTCTCTGAAATCAATAAAAATATTTAAAAAATAAAATAAATTTGGCAAGATAAAGATTCAGAGGGTTTAACTGTATTAAAACAAAAACAATTTCCAATGATAAATGTTTTTCAAAACCTGGACATAAGACCAAGAGGATGACCACAAGTCCTTCCTTTCAGTGTCACTCAGAGGCATTACCTAACGGGCCCACTCAAAGATTCCTTGTTTTAGAAAAATTAAGTGTTTCACTAAGCTATTTATTAATTAAGGCCTCATATTATGTAAAGTTGTGGATTTGTGGCCTGAAGAAAATATAACCTAGTAGTTTTATTGCCCCATAGAAAACCAGTTTTTATAATCCAACATAGCAATTCTAGTCTAATCTTGAGCACTTCCTCAAATGCTCTTGGTAAATCGTTTGGCCATCTTACTGATTCCTTCATTAATTAACAAGCCAGACAGAATCTTTGACATGTGTCTACTAAATATTTGTCTTTTGGAAAATTATACTTTCACTTCTACAAAATTGTTTACATAAAATTTATGAGGACTGAATTATATGAAAGAATTTCATTCAGCCATATCATTATATTTCTTTAGTTCTTATTTTCCTAAGAGCAGGTTTGAACAATTTTTTTTACCCAAGTGATGGTGAGACAACCTAAAAAAGGAAGGATAAAAGAGAACAAAGTCAATGAAAGGCAATTATTTACTTTTCAAGAAGAAAGCCTGTCTCATTCAATGTGTGATGGAAATATCAATTAGGATTTTAAGTAGGTAGCCCTAACCGGCTTGGCTCAGTGGATAGAGGGTCCTGGGTTTGATTCCGGCCAAGGGCACATGCCTGGGCTGCAGCTCAATCCCCAGTGGGGGGGTGTGCAGGAGGCAGCCAATCAATGATTCTCATCATTGATGTTTCTATCTTTCCTTCTCTCTTCCTCTCTGCAATCAATAAATATATATATTTTTTTAAAGAATTTTAAGTAGGTAGGTAACTAGCTACTTTATAGAATGTTCTTCCTTTGAAGCTTATCTGTTAACATACATATACTTAAGGACAGAGGAGCAGGGAAATAAATTGACATTTAGACTGCCTATAGTTATTTTTCAATACAAGTACATCAACCATACAGATATATCCTTTATTTCATGAAATAGTTTTAGAAATTAAATGATTAATTTCCTCTAAAGTATTAGAAATCACCTTGGGCTCACATAACCCAATCTGTTTAAAGCACATAAAAAAGGTAACCAATTATAAATAAAGATTTGATGGCACGGGGGACATATTCTTAGGATGAATAAACAATTAACAGGAATGGTTCTTAAATTACTCCCACTTACCCTGCAGACTGACATCTGGTTTGTTGTAAGTGTACCAGTCTTGTCTGAGCAGATCACAGAAGTACAGCCAAGGGTTTCCACGGAAGGGAGGCTTCGAACAATGGCATTTTTCTTTGCCATTCTGCGAGTTCCGAGGGCCAGGCAGGTGGTGATGACAGCAGGCAAGCCTTCAGGAATGGCTGCTACAGCCAGGGCCACTGCAATTTTAAAGTAGTAAATAGCACCTCTGATCCAGGAGCCTCCGTGAACTGGGTCATTGAAGTGCCCAATGTTTATCATCCAAACTGCGATGCAAATAAGGGAGATGACTTTGGAAAGCTGTTCCCCAAACTCATCTAGTTTTTGCTGGAGGGGTGTTCTCTCCTGTTCTGTTGCCACCATTTCATCCCGGATCTTGCCAATTTCAGTGAAAACTCCAGTTGCCACCACCACTCCCATGGCTTTGCCAGCAGCAATGTTTGTACCCTAGGACAGAAACAGAGGAGAATTGGGTTACAACATTAACAACATTCCCAACTTAAATGCTGACTAGTAAACTCAGATTCATGTGGATCTTGACTAGAGAACCAGCCATCCAACTCTGACAATGAGCAGTCACTCATGCAGCAGTGATACATTTCTCCCTGATGCTCATTTCATGTGGTCCCTTCTCCCCAGAGCAGCTCTACACTGACCCACCTGGATCTCTATTCACAACACTGAACCTGGCTTGCAGACTAGCTTTGGGCTGGAGCAGGGCTCTAACCCCTCTGAGTTCTCAATTATTTCAAACTCCATATAGTTCTAAACCCTAAGCATTCTCCACCTCTGGCTCCAACTCAACCACCCCTACCTTCACCACCAATTATAAGGGCAACCATTACCATGCCTACCTTGACAACTTCCACTCCACACTGGCATTCCAAAATCAGTGAACTCAAGTATGAGAGCTGTCTCCCCACCCCACTAAATTCCTAGTGTTGGAATGTAACTCAAAAGTACTTTACTTACTTTGGGTGTTTAAGCTCCCATACGAACACACAAAAGCCTACCACTTGAAATAGTATTTCAAATTCCAAACAAACTCTATAAATTTCCCAACTTTTTATTTTGGGGGAAAAAAAATTTTTTTTTTCTTTTTAAGAAAGAGTGAAGGGCGGGGGAGACAGAGCGAGAGAAACATCAATGTGAGAGAGGCACAGCGATTGGCTGCTTCCCTCACATCCCGACCAGGGCTGGGGTTAGAGCCTACAACCAAGGTACATGCTCCTAACTGGAATTGAACCTAGGACCCTTCAGTCCGAGGGCCAATGCTCTATCCACTAAGCAAACCTGACTAGGGCTATTTTGAAAATATTTAGCAGAAAAAATTGAAATAATACAATGAACAGCCATTTGACTTTTCACCCAGACTCACTCATTATTAATGGTTGCCACATTTGTTTCTCTCTAAACACACACCTTTTTATTGTGAATTCATACCGATACCATTTACATAATCTTTAAAAACATCCTTTTTATTGTCTTTTCCAAATAAATCTACTTTTCTACTAGGTTTAAAGATAAAGAGTTTAAAGATATCTGACCTGATCTTTTAATTTTAATTCTCAAAAACTTGCTAGTTTAGTTCTGGCTGGTGTGGCTCAGTTGGTGAGTGTCATCCCGTGCACCGAAGGGTGGCAGGTTCAATTCCTGGTCTGGGCACATAACCAGGTTGTGGGTTCAAACCCTGGTCAGGGTGCATATGGAAGTAACCAATAGATGTCTCTCTCCCTCCCTTACTCTCTCTCTAGAATAAATGAAAAACATATTCTCAAGTGAGAATTGAAAAAAGTCTTGCCAATTAAAACAAGACAACTAGGTCACATATCCCACCATTACATATTCTTGATTTTTTTCTGACAGCTGAGATTGACCACAAAGACTGTGATTATGCTTTGGAATAATAGCCAACAATTTCTAAAATATGACCACTGAAGGTAGACAGTGGGAAAAAAATAACATCAGCAGACTTAAAACTCTGAGAATGTCTTAAAAATAAACAAAAAAAGACCCAAAGAAACGAATGAAAAAATTGATAAAGTACTTACAGAAAAGAGCATGTTCTTCTTATCTTGGTTGACAGCCCGTGGGTCAGGGACGGGGTCAGTGTGCTTGATGACAGAGACAGATTCACCTAAGCATGTGGAGACACAGAGGGATGGTTAGATCTGTACAATCCAAGCCTGGAACCTGGGAACCCTCACCCACTCCTGCCACTGCCTCTCTCAAGAAAAGGGATAAAAGGCCCAATTCATTCAAATGAGGTAAACTAGTAAAACTTAGTAATAGAAATTAATTTCAGAGCAATGTCAGGATTAAAATATATATCATTTCAAAATAAAGGAAGTGAATTTTGAAGTAAAATCCCAGCCAATGACCTTTATTTTCTGGAGTAACTATATACACACACTCCAATACCTTTTTTTTTTTTTTAAAGGTGAAAGTATATTTACTTTTAGTGGATTGAACAAACTGTAGATACATTATGAATAATGAGGATCATCCACTGGGAAACCTATTGTTGTTCAGTAATGTCAGAGATGAGAAGGGAAAACACTTTTTAAGAAATATTTGCATGTACTAAACCAGAGTGTTGTATTTCAATAAAATAAAGCTGAAAAATAGCAATCAGCAGTTGCAATAAAAAAGCACAAGGTAGCCCTCGGCAGTGTGCTCAGTGGTTAGAGTATCAGCCCACACACCAAAGGGTCATGGGTTCAATTCCCGGTAGGGGACATGTACTTGGATTGTAGGTTCAATCCCCGATGGGGTTGGGGCATGTGCAGGAGGCAACCAGTAGATGTGTCTCTCTCCCCGTCCCGCCCTCCTTTCCACTCTCTCTAAAAATGAATGGGAAAAATATCCTGGGGGGAGGATAAAAAAAAAAAAAAAAAAAAAAGCACAAATGTCTTGCTGAATTTGGTTTCAGCTTTACTTAATAGTACTTATATATAATCAGGTTCCATTTGAGTGAAATATATCTCCAATTGTTCATTCAAATGTCAGGTATTAAACTTCATATCAATATTTGATTTTAAAAAAAATCTGATTCCTCAACCTAGCCTAAAACTATAGTGTAAGTATTCAACAAAAAATTACATTCAAGAAAGTATGATGTTTTAAAATGGTAATTATTTCTGTAGGCACCCTATGAGAACTTCATACATACAACCTAATTTCCCAACATTTTATGGCTTAATCAGCTTCCAGCTTGTTGCTGCTAATAGAAGTTTTAGTAGTTAAGCTATTCATAAAGAAACAAAAAATACAGAACCCAGTTTACTTACATCACCACTTCTATGACATCAGTTGCTTTTCAAAACCAATCATCAGATAAATCTTGATAATCTTTGGATTTTATATTTATTCTCTATTTAATTCAGGTTAGCATTGTGTTTAAGTTAATCTTCTAACCACCTCACTTCCGGTTAATATGCCCTCCACCCTCCTCTGTGCCTTTAGCAAACAAAAATGGGAAAGTGTTCAAAACAATCCCAAATCTAAGTGTGCAAACTAGGCTGTAAAACATTCACTATTTTGGGGGTGCTAACTTCTGTTAATTGTACATTTGATTATTGTAAAGTATGTTAGATGCTAGATTAGCATTCATAGAATGAAAAAAAAATTATAGTTCTAGAGCCCTTTTTACCAGCCTGGAAAAAGAAGACTAAATAAATAATTGAGCCCTAGCTAATTTGGCTCAATGGATAAAGCGTCGGCCTGCGGACCAAAGGGTCTCGGGTTCAATTCCAATCAAGGGCATGTACCTTGGTTGCAGGCTCCTCCCTGGCCTGGGTTGAGGCTCATGCAGGAGGCAACCAATCGATGTGTTTCTCTTACATCAATGTTTCTCTCTCTTTCCTTCTCTCCCCCACTCTCCTTAAAAATCAATGGAAAAAATATCCTCAGGTGAGGATTAACAACAAAAAAATAAAAGTAATTGAACCACTTTCCACAAAACAGACAACACTTCTACTGTAAGATTAACCTTTGTTAATGAGAGAATTTGTAACCTTTTAAAAACAATAAAAACATTATGGTGATTTTTGGTGAAAACTAATTTTTTATAAAATTAAAAGATAGAGGCCTTATAAGATGAAAGCCAAGTTAGTTGTTTTTTTTTAAAATCATACCTTTAAGCCCCATATATTGGCAACAAGTCTAACAGATAAAGCTTTAAGAAATAAATAGCTTAATGAGAATTAAGATAGGATATCATAAAGGAAGAGTGGGGCAAGAGTTGACGCTATTAGCATGGTATCTGAGAGAGGCATCAGAAATTCAATGGCCTTCTAATACATGACACTTACCTGTGAGAATCGACTGATCAACTCTTAGAGTAGTAGATTTGATGGAAGTTAACCTTATATCAGCAGGAACTTTGTCACCAACTAATTGGGGAGAAAAAAAGCAGCAAAAATAAGCAACCTTTGCAATCATGTTACATAGAGATAAATGTCTCTAAACGCAATTTTTAAAGGAAATAGCCTGTATACAGCACAAATATATAAAAATCTGTTAAAATAAGCAAGATAGTTTACTTATCCTAGGGTAAATAAAAACATCTGCTGATAAATATAAGATTTGAATTACACAAGAAGGAAAAGAATAAACAGTGCCCAGAACTGTGTTCAAAATACTGGACTGCACATCAGTACCAAAGCAACTGAACAATAAAAATAAACGCACAACAGCTTTCCCTGACTTTCTGAAAGGTAACTAAGGTAGTTTTGGAGGTCTTACATAAAGACAGTAAAAAAATTAGAATAAGTAAGTACAGTAGCCTCTAGACCTGCATATGGTACTTTAAACTCCAATATTCATTTTCTAGATTTACCCCACACACTGAATTGTAACTGTCACTGGTTATATGCAATCTGCCAAAATGGCCATTCTGTCCAAGAAGATTTATTGCATTTGTTAAACCTTAAACTTAGTTGTCCTGTTTACTACACATCCCCCCACCCCCTGCACCCCCCTTCAGGGAGAGTATAATTTGCTTTTTAGACTCCAGTTCAGCCCTAACCGGTTTGGCTCAGTGGATAGAGCGTCGGCCTGCGGACTGAAAGGTCCCAGGTTCGATTCCGGTCAAGGGCATGTACCTTGGTTACAGTCACATCCCCAGTTGGGGGTGTGCAGGAGGCAGCTGATCGATGTTTCTCATGGATGTTTCTACCTCTCTATCCCTTTCCCTTCCTCTCTGTGAAAAATCAATAAAATATATTTAAGAAAAAAAGAATGAGTTAGTAAAACTCTAAAAAAAAAAAACAACAAAAAAAAAACTCCAGTTGATAAAACAACCCTAGGGCCCAAGTAGGAAATGTGGTCACAAGGCAGCACAAAGACTGCCAACATATAATCTCAAGAGGCAAAGATCATCCTTGCATTTGACTGCAGGGACACATTAAGTTCAGGTAAAATTGCTGCTGGAAATGCTTATGCAACAAATAGCAATATTCAAACTGAATAAGCCAGAACCTTTCATTTTAATATACTTCTGTTCATGCTATAAAAAACTAACCATATCCTAAACCTCAGTGACCGTTAACAGCTAAAATGCCCCATCAAGATGAAAATTTTAAACCAACATAAACATTTTTTTCTGTGTTACTTCTTGTTATCATAATTAATTTTATCCTGTATGACCCTGAACATGAAAAGAATACGAGTTCAATGATGAGCATATGATCCTAATGGAAAATTTACTTGAAAATGTTCCTTTGAAATCTGTTGAAATTTATATCACAATCTTATGTAAACAATTTCATATGAGAGCCCTAGCTCTTATTCTCATAAATCTGTCACATTTAAGGCTGGCAAATCTAATATTCAAATTGAGGATAAACAACAACAGGACCCAAAAGTACAAGATAGTACTTTGTTTCAGTGGAAGCTCAAAGAATTTGAAATGGATGGAAAATGTAGTTTTAAGGCAATGAATCCCAAGGTTAAATTTTTATTTTGGGTAACTCAGTCAACATATTAAGCTATTAGTTTAAGGTGGATTCAACATTATATACTAGGTGTACTAGTTAATAATGTGCATTTTTTTCAATAGATGGAGTTACACATACGTTGATATATATGCGATTTGATATGTATGCTATTTTGTTGTATTGACAGCAAGCTTCAAAACTTCATATGTCAAATTTGCTGAAGGTGTTAACATCTTATTTTTACACTTAAAAATGTTGAATTTCGTGACAAAAACAAGAGCATTTGCGGGAAGTTTTAATTCATTACTTTATTGTGAAAAGTTATCGTATACTTTGGGAAGCTTATGGTGAACATGCTCCATCTCAAGATACTTGTGAATGCTGGTTTAAACGCTTTAAAAGTGATGATTTCCATGTGAAAGACAACGTCCAGGTGAACCGAAAAAGTCTGAAGACCAACAAATTACAAGCATTATTGGATGAATATGCGTGTCAAACTCAGAAACAACTTGAAGATTAAACGCTGCTCAGTAAACAATTTCCGATCATTTACAAGCAATGGGAAAGATTTTAAAGGAAGGAAAATGGGTGCCACATCAACTGAACGAAAGACAAATGGAAAACTGAAAAGTCATCAGTAAAATGTTGCTTCAAAGGCACAAAAGAAAGTCTTTTTTTTTCATTGAATTGTGACTGGTGATAAAAAGTGGATTTATTTTGAGAATCCCAAACGCACAAAATCATGGGTTGATCCAGGTCAACCATCAACATCAACTGCAAGGCCAAATCACTTCGGAAAGAAGACAATGCTGTGTTTGGTGGGATCAGGAAGGTGTGGTGTATTATGAGCTTCTAAATCTAAAACCAGGTGAAACTGTTAATACTGATTGCTACCAACAAATAATCAATTTGAACCACGCTTTGATTGTGAAACAACCAGAATGTGCCAGAAGACAGGGCAAAGTAATTTTGCTTCATGATGACGCACCATCACACACACTTCAAAACCAGTTAAAGACACGTTAAAAGATCTTGCCTGGAAGTACTAACCCACCCGCCGCATTCACCAGACCTTGCTCCTTCAGATTACCACTTAAGATGGGGGAAATGTGTAGCTAGCAATGAACATTACTTTGAATAAAGCACTTTTGATGTTTCTCTTGAAATTATCGTGTTTTCTTTGATTACAAAATCTGCCATTATTAACCGGTACATCTAGTAGATGCAGCATTAAAAATTATACTTACCCTGGTATTATAAAGAAACCAACTAATCTTCCTCTATAGGTCCATTTTTTAAAAATACATTTTTATTGATTTCAGAGAGGAAGGGAGAGGGAGAGAGAGAGAGAGAGAAGCATCAATGATGAGAGAGTATCATTGATCAGCTGCCTCCAGCACGCCCCATACTGGGGATCGAGCCCACAACCCGGGCATATGTCCTGACTGGGGATCCAACTGCAACCTCCTGGTTCATAGGTCGAAGCTCAACCGCTGAGCTACGCTGGCCGGGCCTCTATAGGTCCATTTTAATAACATGAAGGCTGTCTCTTTGTTGCACAGAAATTACATTGATACACATTTAATTGTTGGCCAAATAGCAGAAATGCCTTAAATGTCAAATGCTAGTGAAACAAATGACCTAGGAAGCCCTTAAAAAACTAACCTCTATGCTTCTTCCATCCTACAACAGCCATTCTAAATGGCAGGCAATTAAATATTTAAGAATTAAAAGAAAAAGATGATCTGGGGGCCTTTTATAAACTACAGAACCTCAGGACCTGCTCTTCAAGAGTCTAGTTCAATGCATTTTGTGCGAGGTCCAAGAATCCACATTATAAGTTTTCCAAACACACTATAAAATTAATATAAGAAAACAAAATCAAGTATAACTGGGGTCATAGATCCTATGAAAGGCTTGTTTAAAACAACCTTTATTATGTGCTGTTTTTCATGTGCCAACTATTCCAGTTCTAGGACAAGAAGACCCAAAGCACCCAACACTTGGACAATGTATACCTTACAGTTTTATTTACATTTCTCACTCTGTTGGAAACAGATCTCTTTGTGGACAGGTACTAAAGAAGCATAAATTCAAACTGGTCATAGAAACCTGTAATATTCTAGTATTCTCTTAGCTAGAAAAACCCCCTATCATCTTGACCAGCCCATGTCCTCATTTTAGATGAGAAATTAAAGTTAAGAAGTAAAAGGAGTCTTGCCTAAGGAGCCTCAATTAATGAAAGACTTTCTTTAACTTGCTGTGTAACTCTGCTTCATGATTTTGTAAGAGTCTATTTAGGTTTGAATCTATCAGGAAGTAGGTTCTCTACGGAAGTAAAAGATCCATGAAAGTAAAGATTCAACGAATACTTTCCAAACTAAGGCATAATTTTCCTTTGTCTGCAGGCTTCTGTGAATTTCAGACAGAGGGTTTTGTGCATGAGTAGACAGTGCTGTTCTGATGATTATATCCAGTGCTATTTCCCCGATGGGGCAAGTCAGTGTCCTTAGGGCAAGTGGTAGTGGAAAATTCTTACTCTTGCCAAGGAGATGTTCTGCAATTTTTTCCTCCAGAACCTTTCTTCTCTGTCTCTTGGGTTCAACAGTGTAATGAAATAATAAATTCTGTTACAAGCCTTCCACTTGTTTAACATTTGACACTTTTCAAACTCAGCTCTTGGCTTCTTAAGTCCTTAGATCTTTAACCTGCTATCACAATAGAGAGAGAACCACTCTGGACAAAATCTTCAATGTATACTTTATGCTAGGTTACCAAGAATGCAAGTAAAAGTTAAAGGAAATTATTACTTGGCCACATTTTAGAATTGAACACAAACTTTATCTTAAAATCTAGGAAGGAGTGTTTATAAGTCACGATACTTAAACGTTGTTTATAACTATGTCGAAAATAAATACTGATGTTTGTTAAAATCAGTAGAAAAGGCCTTTTTATAAATTGGCTCTATGTAAGAAAAAAAATCTAATTTATTTGGTAGCCAATTCCAAAGTTATTCAAATCTTTTCTAAAAGAAAACTATATATAAGATTAGAAATTACCTTCTAAATACCACTATTGTTTTTTAGTTTAAATGGGTCCCAGAAAAGTCAAGTCATAATAGAATTAACCTAAAATACTTAAACATTTAACCATGACTCAAATATTTTCACTATGTTTCCAATGTGAGCCATAAATTTTGCAGACACGCAGAGTGAATGAAATCCTTTACTTGAGAAGCCCTACTTGCCTACTTGAAACTATTTCCAGCACGAGCAGGGAAGGAACATTACAAATTGCTATACTATATTAAGTTTGCTCCCAATCTAGGTTTTTTGTGGGGATTGGAGGGATACTATCTATGATGAGACTCATTTTTTAAAAAACCCACAATGTGCCCTAACCAGTTTGGCTCAGTGGATAGAGCATCGGCCTGTGGACTCAAAGGTCCCAGGTTC